TCATCATGTCATCAGACTCCCATTAGAGACTGAAGTCAAGAGTGTCAATTTCTTGCTGAAGAGTTTTAACAAGGACGAAACCGCCTTTCTCCTTAGAAGGCAAAATCAAAGTTAGAGTGTTGAAAATTATTTTCTATCTTTGCTATTCACCTTTTGATATAATGCAATGCTTGTTGCAGTATTATCCAAAGGAGTAGTTGTTTTCGGGAGCCAAATGGTTGCTCGTTCTTTCTGTGACACGGTCTTGAGTCTTTCTTTTTTTCTTTTATGGTTGGTTTATTTTTAAACAGTAAAATAAATTTTCCCAGTTGGGTAGGCATGGATAAGTAACACCTGCATCCCCTTTAAATTTTAGGCCACTGTGTAAAAACTTATTTGGGCTATACCTAATTTTATATTTTTTTATGTTTCTTAAATAAATTTAGTAATCTTGAAGTGATTGGTTTTTGAGATATTCACACTCAAAAGTGGATGATATTCCTCATTTTATTTTAATTTTTTGTTGTCATAAAGTCCCCACCCTGTATACAAAAATAAAAATTCTAGTCAAAAAATAAATAGCAGTTGCTTTTATATTTTAATAAATTATATCAATAATTAAGTAATAATTCATTGTTGCTATTATCATTTTTTGTTTTTATCCATTTTTGAGCATATATTTTTAATGGTGACTAGATTTTTTTACTTTATCAAAAACTATACGTCAAAACGAAAAAAATGAGTACCTGAAGAACTTGGTACATAATTTTTCACCGTAGTGTTTTTGACCGGAAAAATTTAATATCTCCAAATTTTTTTTTAATTTTTTGTTTATTCAAGACACAAAAAGGTATAATTTTACCAAATTTCATCAAAATTGAATTATTTTTGGAAAAATGAAAAATAAAAAACGAAAATATAAAATTTTTTGACGTCAACTTTCACTGGAAAACGCGATAATACCATTTTTCGCCAATTTCCAACCACCTAAAATTTTACTTCAACCATCCCAGGTTGCATTTATTTTTTCTTACTTATTATAAGCTCCTTTACCATTTACACTTATTAATGTCCTATTAAAAATGTTTTTCTCAAAGTTTAATTTGATTGGACTATTGGTTCAGAACAGACATTCATAATTCAAAATTAAGGATTATTCTTTAAATTTGTAAAGTTAATTTAACAATATAAAGAAAAGCTGCCTCCAGTCACTGTTCTGTGTTTGACATTGTAAGAAAACCTTAATAAGTTGATTGAAGGCAGCTTTTCTTATGTTGTTGAACGTTACAAATTGTTAGCCGATGAATGGAAATTATATTCAGATTATTCATTTAAGCATAAACTCAGAAATGGAATTCTGAATACAAAGTTAAAAATAAACTCTGTAGGTAGATAATTATAGTTTTATTGCATACAAAAGTCACAAAATATTTTCTTAAAATAATATTTAGTTATTATTAGGAAGTTGATCTTCTTCTCAACTTTTTACTTTTATTCCTTTGTTGAAAGATGTGTTTATACTCCTCCAGATGAGCTTAAGTTTTGTTTTCATTGTGTTAATTAATTTGTTAAATAAAAGTCCTACAGCCGGGCTTAAGTTTTCTTTTCATCGTGTTTGCATTGTGTTAATTAAATTGTCGTTTGTTCTTATTACTATTATAAACGCTAAACAATGGACTCCCCAGTTTCCTTATGACAATGCCTTGTTGAAAAGTGGTATCTCGTATGTATGTGCTGAATAATCCCTATATAGATACGAGATGTTAGGTCTGTTCCAACAACGATCACAAACCAGTCACTGCACCAGAATTCTGCGCAGTAGATAATTTGGCTGCCTCAACAATCTACTGCGCAGAATTCTGGTGTCAGTGACTGGTTTGTGATCATTGTTGGAACAGACCTGTTACTTTTGCAACGACGAATAGCTTTCGGTCGAATCATCTGAAATTTAAATATAGTGTGCCTATAGTTTTTTTTTTTTTCAACAAAAAGTAATTCTTCATAATTTGTTTTGCCTATTAAATAAGTATGATTCACGTTGAAACACTTCGATTTTGTTGTACAGGGTGCGCAAAAAATACAATTGTGGATTTGCAAAATTAAAAAATTATAATTTATTTACACTAAATACTAATTAATTTATTTATACTTATGACACTATTTATATTTTATACCTATAAACTAATTTATATAACAATTTGAATCTCTATCTTTAACTTCTGTCTATAGACTAAACTCCGACAAAATACAGCCTATTTATACAAAAATGCTGCGCACCGCACTGGTACTCGAACATTCCAGATGATCTTTCAACACGATATTATTGCCGTCGTCCCTGCATCGTGTAGAATCTAGTTGGCTGCAGCGACTCGAGAACATTCCTGTAAGGCGGACTGCCGACTAGCTAATGACACGGAGGCAGGAACGGTTGGCATTTTTTACATAACTCCCTGTGTTAATCAGTCGAATCAAGTATAATTTTAATAAATTGAAACAACAGCGTTACTAAGTTATTTTCGCATTTTCACATGGACACTTTTAATTCAGAGGTCAAAAACTGCAACATGAGACCAGGGCCACCTTAATATCTTTTTCACTTATGATGCAATTTGGATCAAATTTGGGACATAGCTACTATACATAATTTCAAATTGATACTTTTGCCTAAACAAAATGGCCAATTTTCATAGAATTGTCATTAGGTTTGATTTTTTAAATCTATCACCCTGTACATTTTAGGTTAGTTAAAAATAAATCCTACTGATTAAAAATATATTTCTAACAAAATCTCACTTTTTTCAAAGTTACCTATGGCATTTTCGCTTTTGAATAAAATTGTTCTAACAAAATTCCCCCTGCACCACTTAGAACATTATTTTCCAGTTCATGACGTTCTATACGGGATGAATCCTAAGACGACACTTTTTTTGAAAAAAAAATGAGCATATACAAAAGTTATCGATTTTTACAAAAAATTAAGAGAACGTTCTATAGACTGTATATTATTCGATACAATTCTTATTTTTTTTAGCGAAACCACTATTACATCTAATTTTTTTTTATTTTTTATTTTGGAAGTTTTCACCATTTTTTGAGAAAAGTCATAAAAAACTAATGATACAATGAGGACTGTTTTGTTTATTTCTAATCAATATATTCTACAAATCCATATTTTTGTTTCCATTTACCTATTATAAAATTGTTAACAAATAAAGAAATTAACATTAAAATGCCATTTTAACTATAAAGTAAAATTAGTTGATGAACTAACTCAGTTATTATGTTTTAATTTGTTAATTTGGAGCATATATACAGGGTATTTCAGAATAAAGTACCGTAAATAAGGGGACTTGTAGATCCTAAATAATAAATAAGAAAAGCTAAATATATTTTTCTGTAAAGCATATTTTAAAAATATTTTTAAATATACAGGATGTTGCGCTTTTGCTTGACAAATACACCCTGTATTTTATTTCAGTTTTAGAATGATCCAGTAATACTGTACTTAACGTTAAAATATTTTAAAAAAATATTACAGGGTTGCCAAACAATTAATTATTTTGTGAAATTTCAGAATGATGCAGACCTCAAATTAAATTAACATAATTTAGGTAGATTAACAATGATTTCAAAATTGTTTTAAATATAAACTTACAAGATACCAAGCTAACTAGTAGTGGTGATAGAACTGGTTTATTTTATACAAAGTGTCTTAAAACATGTCTTAAATATGGCTAATTTTATGTTTAATTTACTAAATTTTTTCAAATGGGACACCCTGTATATTATTTTAGCTATTCAACGATAGAAACAGGTTAGCCAAATATACATATACAGGATGTCTCATCAATGCGTAGTACAAAAAAAATATATATAAAAGTTATATGTCTATATTTAAAAATTATTCTTATTCTTTAAAGCAAAACACCCTATAGTTAGTTATACCTTTTTGTTCTTACATCGTCAAACAAATTTAATAGACTTTATTCATTTGCTATGTTGTATATAGGGTGTGTCAAAATGCAAGGTTACGATTTTCTCAATTTATTTAAAGAAATACCTTGTAGGTGTAATAATATTAATAATAATAATGTTTATTTTTACTAATACATTTTTGATAAAATTTGTATTAACATAAATAACTTCTTAAGAAAAACAAACATGAGGGTAACCAATAAAAACCTGAAAAGGTTGCGCGGGACTTTTAGCTCTTTTTCATTTGAAGTAGAAGTAATAAAAAAATACAAGTATTCACAAATGGAATAAAAATGCATAAAATACACAAAAATAGAAAAATATATAGAAAATACCATAAAATACACAAAATAGAACAAAAAACATAAAATACAAATGAAAAATGGCAGAAATCCAATAAACTAACACGAAAAATACAAATTTTGTTTTGTTTTGAATATTAGTCAAGTTATAATGTTATTTATTTATTAAATTATTCCCTACCTAATATTATATGACTGCCAGTGTCTAGTAAAAACTTTTAAATGATGATTTTTTACATTGTTATTAAATTATTTATTAATTCTCTAATATGCCTCTCACTAAGTAGTAAGAACTTTTTAAATGAATTCTTTATGAATTTTATAGTGTTAATTTTTTCGCTTAAAAAATAAATGAGATAATAACTTGGCGCTAGTCTTATTCTCACCCAGTATATAAAATTCAGCAGATTAGACTGAAAACCATTTGTCATAAGAAAACGCGAGGTCCTTTCAAATGATTTTCGCTCTTCTTTGTATTATCATTTACTTTGTTTTTCCTGTTAACAAAAATGGGTCGAATAAAACAGCCATTGATCGCATCGTTGCATAAAAACCAAATAATTAGTAATTGTAAGCGTTAAATTCCATTTTATGGGATTCCTAAACAGTATAAAAGTTTGAAGGAAAGTATGCGTGATTACTTTTTTTATTAAGGTCGTAATACCGTGGGCCAATATAAAACGTAACGTTACGCAAACGTTTCATGTTTCGAAATAATTAATTGGTTTTATTTGTTGTTTCTAGTTGATGAAAAAAAGGCCTTACAAACAAAATTCCGGGTTAGCCGAGGTGTGTGCCGAAAACATAAAACTGTGGAATTATTTTTTACTGACCTTTAGTTGCAAAATAGCTATACAGCAATACCTGAGCAAAAAGCACCACAATCTGAGGGTGAGACGATTCGCCGAATTATTCTTTTTAATGTACAACCCTCGAAGTTCCGCCTTTGGATGCCACGATACGAATTATCAAAACTACCTCGTCATAGCCGAAGTAGCTAGAAGGTAAATTTTATTGGTATTTGATAGATATACGGGGTACGTATTTTATGTTTTACAATAGACCATTAGATGGCACTATTGAGGTGTGACTACTATTTTTTCAAAAGTTTAGATTTCTTATTATGAAGACTAGAGAGGAGACGAATCGACATACGCTCGATGTGCACAATATATCCCCTATAGTAGTGCATCTCACTTGTTAAAGAGTTGGCACTAAGTTTGCAGCGCAAGAATGCGTCTGTGTCTGGCCGCTCAACTAACTCGATATGGCGGTAAATTCAAATATAATTTAAAGGCGAAATTTAAATTTCCCGCCAAAATTGTAAATTTTCAGCCGCGGAATGGCGGGAATTTTTAAATATATTCATTCGGCAATAATTATTGAGAAGTATATTGCATGTTCGATTAAATGAGCTGTAAATCCAGGCGCTATTTTTATTTTGATAGCTAAAAATAATACTAATTCTTTTATTATTAGCTATTACAATAAGAGCAGCATTTGGATTAACAACACATTTAAAAGAACATGTAATATACTTTTCAATTTTACCTAAATCACTTATTTTTTACCTATAGAGGTTAGATCTGAAAAAAAATTGGCTCTGGTAAAAAAACAAAAAATTGTATAAAGTATTTTATTTGAAAAATTATAAAACTTATTTAATATATTTTAAAGACGAAGATAACTCTAGCCATATCCATTTTACTGAAAAAAAAAAAAGAAACTATTAAATGAAATCATTTAGTTATTAAGAGATGTTTGTGATAATACAGTGGCAGCTATCGAATGTTGTACAATACGTTTTGCTAATGTCCAAGTAAAAACTACAAAGAGTTAGCATTAGTGGGAGAAGGAATATAATACTATGAACGTAGCCAACCGGCTACGTGGGGATGCATCACACCGTGTGCCTGTTCATATTACACAGCACACAAGGCAACATTCATATTATTCGTTTCCTGATCGAACTAATGCGCTAACTCTTTAGTTTTATTTTCGATTCTAGCCAAGCGTATTGGAAAGTGTTCATTAGCCGATACTGTATATAAATGCTAACATCAATAAGTGAAATAAAAAATTTTTGTTTAAATGGACATCTACTTCGAAAAAAGTAAATTATTATACTTGAATTTTAAAGGCTGTTGCCACTGGAAAACTATTATCTAGGGCTTGGATGACAGCCATAGGACTCCCTCCTTGAATCGTGTCCATAGAAAAGCATAAGATCATAGTTAAATTATAATATTAAGAGGGTAGGTATTAACTGAAAAATTATTACAAACTTACCTCAAAATTGGCACCTACATTAAAAGAAGGGGAAACGGAAACATACAATTGTTATACTTGAATTTTAAAGGCCTTTTCCACTGGAAAAGTATTATCTAGGGCGCAGACCCTTGGATGACAGCCATAGATAGCAATCCCTCCTCGATTCCTCTTTTTCTGAGTTTGTTGTACGTTTTGTTTCCCATATTAAATAAGAAAGCACTTAATACAACAACACAAATCACAATAAATATCGCTGAAACAAAATTAATATTAAATTTCGTAGAAGAAAAAATCAAAAAATTATCACTTGTCAACACTGACACTTCACGCTTCACTTATAAAAACTCAACGCTAAAGAATGAAAGATGATTCGAAATAGAAATTATTAACTGGTATCTCTTTCTTTTATAAGTATCTAAACAAAGAGAAGGAGTGGGAGTGAGTAACGCTCCGATCAGATTGTTTTGAATTCGTCGTCAACCAATGAACGTGCCGAAGTCAAAAATCAATAACGATACTAGCGCCATGAGACCTGTGTCTGGCCGCAGCGTAACTCAAAGCCATTTCTTGAATCCCAGTTACATTACTATAGGGGATATATTGTGCTCGATGTGGTCCCAAAAAAATTATCGCTAAATGAGCCTTTAGCATTCACCTCAGGAGCGCTGGTGTTCTAAGTGATTTACGAAATACATTACTTTTAAATTATACATTATTTTATGATTTTTTTATTAACTTTAAAAATTTAGTAATCTGTCTTAAGGATGTTCTACCGCTTTTCGTTCGGTCGAAGTTGAGAAAAACTTGATACTTGCATCTGTAAGTTCGCCATATTTGCAGATCTGCGTTGCAGACGTTCTGTAATCTCACCCAAACTCTATATCTGTGGGCTACATGTTGGCTGGGAGCCGTTCTTGTTCTTAACCTCTTTCTTCTTCCTTTCTTCTTCGAGTCTGGCCTGAATGGCCTTTTACTTTTGTGTCTTGTCAACATAGCGCAGAGGAGAGGAAAATTATATGAGCCCCACATTTTGTCAAATGCTTATGACTTATCAATAAAAGCACCTGAGTAGTATATTTTATGTATGGAGGGTAGAGGAAAGCAGAATAATCTCTGTATACAAAAAGTGTCCCTCAAAATGTATACAATTAAGATGGCGCTTCTGTGCCCAGGGGACGTCGACAGTCGATAATTCAGATCACACAATGACACCAATGATGTATATAGTAATAAATATTGCTCAACCATAAAAAACTAAAAACTACACCGTGAAAAGTGACTGATCGTAGAAGAGTAAGTGTTCTGTGATCGTAGATAAATTTTGACAATACATGACAATAGTCAAATTTTATTGAAAAATAATAATATAAACAATAAATAATTCTTATGAATGAGCAATCTATATGACTATATAGCATTGGATTTTGTACCCTGGCTACACGAGCGCCATCTTAATTGCATACATTTTGGTGGCCACTTTTTAATATAGAGATCCATATAAGATTGTCCTCCTTTTTTCTACCCTCCATAATTTTATGATTAAAATCTTCTTGTACTTGTTGTGCGAGTCGATGTACCTATTCTGTGGTTCCGTGTTTATTCCGAAATCCAAAATTCTTATTGAGAATGACGTTTTTAATGTCGCTTATATCCTATAGTTTGTTCACATATCGCTGTTCCGGTAAAACAATAACGCAAATACAAAATAATAAAATTTTCAGGAGAGATAAAAAAACGAATATTATTACTTCCAAATTTGGCATATGAATCACAAACAACTTATCCTTAAAGCAAATACGTCATCTAACCACCTAGTAAGTAACTATGAAGACAGTAACGTCATTCATGTGTCATTGTTCTTCAAAAGTGGAGGGACAAACGTTAATATTTGAAAACGGACGCAACTACCATCTAGAAGCCACGAGTGGATATAAAATTGCGCCGTTGTTATACCCTATTGAAAAATTAATTTGGAATCTAATGACATGTTAAAGTCAAAATGTCATAATTTTTCCGGAACAACAATATATCTTTTTAAAAACCTTAGATAGAACTGGTAATAGACGGATAGGTAGATAGAAAGTCGCTTCTTCTGTTTTTTGCTAGGTTTTGGAGTCATGATGATCTGTACAATTTTTCAAATTTTTGGATAGTGCTGCTCGCAGTATTATAATACAGATTCAGCTTAAATTTTTCTTGAGGATTGCCAAATAACAAAAGGACCTGCTATAGCTTTATAAAGAGCGAGTACGCCATGAAGTTCACACTGTTTGCGTATCGAAGGCGACGGATGAGATCGGTCGGCGTCATGATATTAAAATGAATGAAAAAATGTCGAAACGGTGAAATTTAGTAAATACCTACCATACTGTTAAATTTTACCTAAATAGGGCCGAAGACAAACTAAGACACGGTTTAACTGAAATATTTTTTTTATTTTTTTTTGATAAACTAGTACATAAATAGAATACAGTCCATATTCCAGGAAATTTCTTTATTAAGTAATATTATCAGCAGTAGTTACTAGCATTTATTTTCTTTTTATTATTTTATTCACATGAGTTTTCTTTTTTTTACGATTATTAAAGAGGAGTACAAGAACAAATAATAAGGTACCTGAGCCAATTATTGCCATGTTCCTAATATTGCCAGCCGAACCAAAATCATGACGTCATTAATCTTGCGGCCGGTATACGTACTAAAACATTCTTAGGAATGAAATCAACTAATTGGACGCGCCAGAAAAGTGCACAGTTTGCACAAAGTACCAGAACTGTAGATACAGCTTTTTGTTTGCGTCCGTTATAAAAAACTAGCCGTTTATTTGGTGTCGTATCGGTTTAAAAAATTAAATAAAAAGTGCAAAAAGTCACACAAGGTAAGTCCTGAGGTACACTTTTTGTTGTTGTTGTGTTGTTATGTTTATTTCAAAGGTATTTTCTGGAATTGTTAGTTGTTTAGTTCATTCACAGGTGCCTAATATTGCCATCTATAGGTAGACCAAATATTGCCATGGCAATATTTGGCTTATTTTTTTTTGCCTTATGTTATTTAATTTATAACAATATTATGCGAAAAACAAATAATTTCTAAACTATAAATTAATAATAAAGTATATTATATACAGAGGCAAAAAATATGTAATTTACTCATACTCAAAGATGGCAATATTAGATACCTGTGAAAATCTTGAATAATTAACGATTGTTGCTACTTGCCGCTACAATTAAAAATAATTATTATTGTTGTTTTTACAGATGCCAAAGAAAGGGAAGACAGAGTGGTCGGAAGAAGACCTTAAAGAAGCGTTGATAGCCATAAAGAACGGATTAAGCATTAGCAAAGCCTCGCAAATGTTTCGAATTCCTCGAACAACTTTGGGGCTGCGTCATAGGAAAAATGATGCAAGAAAACGTCTTGGCAGATGTAGTATTTTATGAAAAGAGCAAGAAAATGATTTAGTAAATATCGGCTGGCAGATGTTGGGATGCCAGTCACACCTAAACTAGTGAGAGGAAGTGTATACTCTTACGCCACGACACGTAACATTCCTAATCCATTTTCCCAGGCATCAAAATTAGCAGACAGAAAGTGGCTGAAGTTATTTTTCAAGAGACATCCTGATGTTGTGAGACGTAAGGTGCAGCAAATAAACCCTGCTAGGGCTCAGAAAATGAATCAATTTATTGTAAATGATTATTTTAATAAATTAAAGGAAGTGTACACTAAATTGGAGTTACTCGACAAACCAGGCAAGGTATACAACATGGACGAGAAAGGTTGTCGCCTCACGATTCATAAACAACAGAATATATTGGCGAAAAAGGGTGTAAAGCGTGTCCACTTAGTGGCCCCTGGACATGGTGTGTAACCATAGTTGCATGTGAAAATGCATTAGGGCAGGCAATTCCACCAGTGATCCTTTTTAAAGGCAAACGTTTCAAGCCCGAATGGGCAGATCATTTACCCCCAGATCCAAGATCAACATAACCATTAAAGAAAGCATGACCAGCGAAGCTTTTATTTCCTGGCTCGACCATTTTGTCACGTTTAAGAACCCAGGACCAACACTTCTCATTTTTGATGGGCCAAGTCACACCTTGACGCATCTTTCGTTGATGCTGCCTAAAATCACGGAATCACTCTATTTTGCTTACCCTGTAACATTACGCACGAGTTACAACCCATGGACAAGTCAGTTCTTCGTAGCTCTGAAGCATTTTGGGATCAGGAAGTATTGAACTTTTTAACAACACAACTTGGAAAAGCTTTAACCAAAATAAGGTTTGAAGAAATATTTTTAAAAGTGTGGTTGAAAGCAATGACACCGTCCAATATACTCTCTGGATTTAGAAGTACAAGCATCTATCCTTTTGCTCCCGATGCAATCTCAGAATCTGCGTTTGCACCCAGCGTCGTAACAAGAATGGATGAAATAAAAATGAATTTAATATTACTGAGTTAACAAGTCCTATTCCCGGGTAAAGTGGAATAAATTCGTCTATAACCAAAAATAAAACTAGTGCTTACCTCCAAAGTGATTCATCGGATTCAGAAGCTTGCCTCGATAATGACTTCTTCACAGAAAGTGAGAACAAACCGCTAACTAAATTAATGTCTGCTTCTTCAGGGGATGTTACGGAGGAAGAAGTACCTGTTGATGATTTGGATAAGTCGTTTAGTGGCATGGGTTTTCTGGTTACTCCTAAGATAAAAGTTACATGGTCACAAAGAAAGCCTGCTATTAATTAAGGGCCCAAGAAATAACGAGAGATTTATTCAGTTCTCAGCCAAAATCTGCTCCAAAAAAAGTCACGCAAAAAAAACGCAAAAAAACGCAAAGAAAGTGGAACACGCAGAATCTGCTCCAAAAAATCTTTGCTTGTGGTTGACTCTTGGTTCTGTTTCCTATGCGAAACAAAAAGGCAAATCGATATGAGGTTGTGCTCGGTATATAAAAGATACGTTCACGAAGAATGTGTCGGTCTATCTAAGGCCGACAAAGAAATGTTTATTTGTCCAGATTGTTAGACTTAGTTTTTTCATTAACAAGAATGTTGCTTTTTAGTTTATTTTTCATAAGATTCCTTTTTTATTTTGTACCTGGGTAGCATTTACGTTATGATTAAGTGTAAATGAAGTTTTGTTTTTTATTTTGCTTATTTCAGTGTTTTCAGTGATGTTCCTAATACTGCCACTACATGGCAATATTTGGGTTACCTGTTCCAAATATTTTCATTTTGCAATGTTTTAAAAAAATGCTAAAATAAAAATAATAAATTAAAATTACAAATAAATGGTATACGTTCCATATTAGACTGTTTTCTATAACGTAAAGGTTGATCTAGTTGAATATGTTAAAATAAAAAAAAATTAAAATCCTTAGGGCGGCAATAATTGGCTTAGGTACCTTAGTAGTAATCATTCATTTAGCATCAACACTTTATATAAACGAAAAAACTTGTTTTTGTAAGTAAAATATTTCATCAATAGTTTTTAAAATACACTTTTGTTTACATTGACATACAAAGAACAACCCTGCTACCTACAGTCGATTTAATAAATTTCACAAAAGCAAGGAAGAAAATTTGAAATTTGGCCACTGGCGAGTCGACTCCTCTCTACTCTCTAGTCTTCATAGTGTTGTTATTAAAACAAAATGAAACAATGGCTAAGAAATCAGCCGAGTAAAGTTGTAGGAAATACTAACAAATCAATTTTCCTGAACGAAACAAGCACTTACTAAAAAAATGTAAAAGTTGTGACAAAACATTTTCTATACGCTGTATTACTATGACGTAATATGTGTGTCAAACAAAAACAATCCATTTTGTTTTTATTATTGTTTAAAGAAACTGAAAAACTCCTTTAAGGGTATGTAACCTAATTATTTTTATTGTAACTATTACAATGGTACACTTTTAAATGAATACAATCTTCAAAATAGAAAAAATATATAATATTTAAAAGAATATTCCTAACCTATATTTTTATTATTTTACATAATTGATTACATAATATGATTCACTTTTATTTTAGAATTATAGTGTACGATCTAAATTCGTTCAAATGAAATAAGTAACAACAATTCAGAAACAAGATATTTGGCCTATAAATAATTTTTTTTAGTTGCTGAATATACCTTTAATTATTTAAAAATGGAACACGTTTCAGTGATCAATCTAAAACTTAATTTAACAATGAAATTTAAGAAGTCTTTAATAATAAAAAGCCTACTAAAAATACGTTTTAGGTCAAAGTACATGCAAATGCTTCCACCTTTACCGATCCACTGCATAGCTCTAGACGGCGAAACTGCGACCATGCCAGTTATTTTTGAAGATCAATATCAGGATCCTTTTGAAGCAAAGAAAAGAGCAAGCGAAGTTAGCCTAACTCAAATTCCGGGTAAGTAAATAGTTGAAAAAGAAATTTCTAGCAATTTAAAGAAGAAATCGATGGTTAAGAGGACAATGTTGTACTTGTATGTCCAAAAATGTAATTTAAAGTAAAATCGATTTAGAAGTTGGAGATGTCTATGACGAGGTGAATAATTTGTTTTAGTACCATCTTATTAACTGAGACCCTTACCGGGCATTGCCGACTCAAAGGAAACTTTACTAAACTGAGAGTTGAAGAAGATAGTGAGTGCAGATTCAGTAAGGAGGAGGATAAAACTTCTATTCACATTCTGACTGAATGTATAGAACTTCAGAATCCAAGAGCATTATACTTAGGAGGTCGATCTACCTAACTTAAAGCCACTCCAAATCCTACACTTCCTTGAGAAGATAGGATTGGAAGGGTCATTATGGATATCGAGAGTATTTCCTCGATGCATTAGCGCCAGAAGGGGAACAATGGATCTTTTAGGTCGCAGTGCAATTATACACCATACCCAACATAACATAACATATTGTTACGCAGCACCCTGCAGTAGCCTGCGGCTATCATAGGAAACGTACAGATAGAAAAAGAAGTGGAATTTTACTCATCGCTCTACAGTGTTTAGCGGTCACATACTTTGATTTTCTTTTACTATACGGAGAATGGTCGCACTGCGCAGCTTTCTGAGTGCCTTTTAAAAGGAGAGAAAACTCCGCCATTTTGAACCCTTATTACGTGTTGCCTACATCTTGGCACAATATTTTTAATAAGTGCGTTTTAATCAACCGCTTCTGCTTCGGAATTGTCGGTTTTCTTGTTTTAATCTGATAGGTTAAAACGACTAAACCGACAATTCCGGAAGCAAAAGCGGATGATTAAAACGCACCTGATATTTTGCTTGCTGCTGTCAGTGTCAGTGAATATTATTTTTGAAGTCACAGTTTATTGCTAAAGAATCAGTTAGCTCACTCGGACCAGTTGAAAGTTCCAAAATAACATCCACTCCAGGGATACAAATTCAGGATACGCAGAAGACTGCTGTTTTATTATAGGCGGTTGTCATATATTGTATTATCCAAGTTGCACAGTTAATAAACTGAAACATTGAGATCCAAAGTGCCGACGCAGAGTGAGCGATCTGATTCTTTAGCTGTAAACTGTGTCACAGGGTTCAAAATGGCCGCGCCCTATGTTGGGCGTGTCGGACCTCTCTCTTGCCTCGTATAGTAATCAAAGTATGTGTCCTAAACACAAAACTAAACTTTGTAACATAGGTGAAGTACTGAGGTCTCAACTTTGACACCAAGTTAACATGGAATTCGTAGAAAACAGAATCAAAAGGACATACGTTGCTTATAAACAATGCCGCCGAACCGTTATATGGAATTACACGGCCATTCTATGACCTATGCTAACATATGGTGCAGTTGTTTGGATACCAAAAGCCCAAAAATTGACAGCTATCCGCAAACCAGAACAAATTCAAAGAACATCAGTCTCAACATAACAGAAGCCATGGAAGTCATTCTTAGTCTTAGTCTTTTTAATATTTACATCAAGGGGGTTGCTCTGATGATAATGACACATCTCCGCACGGTTGGATCAACACCTAATGTAGGATCTGGTGAGGCGAGACATCGTTTTTGGCAGAAAGCGCTCGATAGGCTTCAACTGCTTCAAGCAGGCTCACGAGCTAGGAGGTGCCTATTATCTTAGAAGGATGCCTAGTGATGCCTAAGTTCCACCCTCCACACGTTACAGATACAGATCATGTAAATGACCGCCGCGGCTCAGTGGCCGCGGCACATCTAGCATGACGTAGGTAATTCGATTGTGAAAATTTTCGACTATAATTTGGCACAAATCAGTTTGTATGCCGGCTTTTTCGTGTCTGAGCTTCTGTTTCAGTTCTGCAATGGTGTTTGATTTATTAACCGACTTCAAAAAAGGAGGAGGTTCTCAATTCGTCGAAGTATTTTTTTTATGTATATTTAGCGATAATTATTTAGCACATTGTCCGATTTCTATGATTCTTTTTTTGTTAGAAAGCGGATACTTCAGGAGTGGTCCCGTATAAATTTTGCCAAAATCTAATAATTGGGTCCATCAGAATATCATCAAACTCTTCATTTTTTATATATGTTAAGTGATAATTGTTTACCATCTTGTCCGATTTGTATGATTATTTTTTGTTAGAAAATGGGTACTTTTTGAGTGGTCCCATATAAATTTGGTCAAGATCTTGTGATGGCATCTGCACAATTTTAAAGTCCAGTATCCAATTGATGTCGCCCTTACGTAAAATAATGCGAAACTTGTCGCACAGTAATTGTATCGTTTCTCCAGCTGAGTGCCAAACGGTGCCCTTCTGTTAGAACCAGAGATCTTCGATATCCATATCATCGAACTGATAGCGAAAGCCATTAAACGTAACAGCATTTCTGCATGATCCTCAAAATGCACTTTTCCTCGATCGGCCATTTGAATAAATGCACAATCAAAGTATGTGAATAAATGGCTTGAATAATTATAACACGTTGTTCCGTCGAATATTGTTTCATGACTATTTTTTTATGTTTCTAGGTTAGAAATGTTCAGTTGCCGTTTACAAATATAGTGGCGTTTTAAAAATATTTCAGAATGTAATGTGGAAACTCAATTTGAATCACCCATTTATGTCCCAATTCGCCTCAGGTCTGTTATCCCCGCTTTCCATAATGTTTTCTGTTCTGTATTTGACCTGGAGTTAAATTATTGATAATTTGCGTCCTTTATTTATTTACCTTTACTAATATTTAAATCGTACTTACTTTTTATCCAAATACATATCTTAAATAATCTATTTAGGTTACGCGGTAGCCTTAAATTTAAAATGATTTATCTTTTCAGAACCTGAGATATGGAGAAAATCTTCAAAAATGGACCTAGACGAAACGAATTGCTCCTGTAGTATCGGAAAACTGTGGACGACCAAAAAAGGCTCAGAAAAAACCTTAGTTAGCGCCGACTTGTACAATTTAACGGATCCGATGACTTTCGCCATTCCAGCTAGACATAGCAAATCCCTTGATCACTTGCAAATGTGTTCGACGAACAGTTTTCGTTATACTTTAAGCAACAGAGGCCAAGCATACGTCGACCCAAGCCAAAGCAGAGATAAATTATTTTTATGTAAAACAGAACCAACTTTGAAAAACGTAGCTAGCGAACACAACATGCGCAACAAGAGATATTTTTTAAACGAAGAAAAAGAAAACATATGCAATTGTTCGTTCAACTACAATACAATCAAAGTCCCAAAAAAAACTAACCAAATTCCTGCGGTCGATATTAACATCGGCCTAAACAGTGATATTATAGAAAAAAAGTACAAGCAATTTAATATAAAGAATTTAACTAATGTCAAACGGCAATATCATACTTTAGTAAAATCGGTAAGTCAAACGCCTACTGAAAGTATCCAAAATATATTTCGTTCAAGTTCAGTCCAATCCTTCTCTCCGAAAGGAAAAAAACTAAACAACGGTATCAACAAGTTTAATTCCCTATTACTAAAACGAAATAAAAAACCAATCAAAATTCTAGAAAATGGAATCGAATCCGACCAAAATCAAACAAAAAAATCAAAAAACCGTTTATCGAATGGTACTACACACTTCGAAATTGCCTCTACCAGTAGCTCGACTGAGAGTCTGTCGAAGGAAACATACAAAACAGGGTTAAATAGTGAACACGAAGCTTTAATTATTAGTTTTAATGGTATTAGGAAAGTTAGAAGTGCTTCTTGCTTATTCGAAGAATTCGTACCGCGTTCGTTATCAGGCACAGAATCACTGCCAAACATCACTTCGAAATTGGAAGAAAGACTTTATCCGGAATTAAAGTATTATAGTAGTTCGTCTTCTTCCGGTACAAGTGAGCAGAGCGGATGGATTACATCAAGAAGCACCTCTCTAGGTAAGTCGTAGTCATAGTGATATAATGTACTTTTTTGTGGATTGGTACATACCTTAATACCTACATAGTACCTACTATACCGCGAACTTTTACAAAAGTGGAGTGTTATCTTTATCTTTGTCGGTTATAAGCAGGTAGGGTTAGGTTTGGCCCAGAACACTGCGGCCTCTTGGTTCTATTGTATTCCCCTGCTTTCCCCGTATTCAGGTACTATCTTTGGAATAGTCCTGTCTTTTAATAAATTCCCTACCAAGTGTTCCTGGGGCGTTCTTTTCGGTTCTATGCCGAAAAGGGTGAAACGTCGCCTAGTAAGAGCTTCGCATTCGAAGATCACATGGTATGACATTTCTTCCTCTTCCATGCAGAGTCTACACGTAGTGGGATCATTGTGTAATCCCATTACATGAAGGTGTTTCAGCAAGCAGTGCTCCGTCATTAATCCCACACTGGTGGATATCTGAGGCCTTGCGAGTTGTAATGCCATGCGTGGGTTTGGTCCCCTTATTATGAGCTTACTGATTCTGTCTCCTCTTATCTGTTGCCAGTGAATTAGGTGTTTTGTGGTTATCCACCTGTTCACTGCCTGTCGACCAGAGGTTTTGCTTATCCCAAATACAGATTCGCGTCCTGTGAATGGTAGATCTGATCCCTCTTTGGCGAGTTCATCAGCCTTGTCATTTCCTTGGATACCTTTGTGCCCTGGTTTTACCAGTTTTACCTTTTTGTGGGTTGCCAGATCATTTAGTATTCCAAGGCAGTTCCACAAAAGCTTTGACTTGATTCTGTTTGAATCAAGAGCCTTTAAGGCTGCTTGGCTATCTGAGTGAATTAGGATGGTTTGTTTTTTGTACCTCCCTCTTAAAATCTCTCATACACACAATTCGATTGCATGTATTTTAGCCTGAAATACAGTGGTATGTTTTCCCAGTGAGACGATGATGTCGCATTTGGGTTTAACTCCATGTGCGCCAAAGCCTGTTCCCTTGTTAGTTTTAGATCCATCCGTATACCATATGAGACCGCTAAGCAAGTATGTATCCATCTCCTTATTTACCTCATTCCAGTTGTAGTTGACCTGGAAGAGTATATTGAAGGTTAGGAGGGGTGTCATGTGATCTGATGCCATGTTTAGTATAGAATCGCTTACTTCATGTGTTATTCTAGTATGTTTTATATGTCTCAGTGGGTTCCACTTGTTTTAGATTTCCAGTCTGTATGCACTCATTCTGGCCTCTCCCTTTATGACTAGGTCAAGGGGTGGGAGGTTTAGAATGATTTCCATAGAGGCTGTCGGTGTACTTCTCAGTGCTTCTGTAATACAAAGGCATGCCAGCCTCTGTACTCCTGAGAGGATATTGAGGGCTGTTTTCTGGTTAGGCCACCAAACAACCGCTCCATAAGTTACCATGGGTCTTGTTATTGCCAAATATAGCCAGTGGACCATTTTTGGTTTTAATCCCCCATGTTTTTCCAAATGTCCGTCTCCCTACAATGAAAGAGATTTTACATTTGTTGGTCACTTTTTGTAAGTGTTGGTTCCAAGTAAGTTTGTTATCTAGGATTAAACCTAGATATTTTCCTTGGTTCGTTTTGTTTAGCCTTCCTCCAAACAGATTTGGAATTTCTAAAACCTCCAACCTTGTTTTCCGAGTAAAGGTTATGAGTTGTGCCTTGTCAGGGTTTGCCAAGAGGTTTTCCCTAACGCACCACATTTCTGTTAGCCTAAGAGCTCTTTGCATGAGTTCAAAGACTGTGGTTTGGGTGTTTCCCACGGATAAGGATGACTATGTCATCGGCATATCCCTGGGGCATACAGCTCGTGATTGTTTAGTGTTTTTAGCAGTTTATCTACCACTAGCTTCCACAGTGGAGGAAAAAGGAGTCTAGCCTGTGGATATTCTCCTGCATGGTTTCACTGAACATTTGTGCCTGTACTTTCCGTCCGCGTAACATGTCTTCTATCCACCAGCATATGGTGTCTTCTATTCCATGTTTGTGAGCGGCAGCTGCCATTCATTTAAAGGAGGTATTATCAAAGGCTCCTTTTATGTCAAAGAAATGCTCCTAGGACTCATTTCTTGGGCTACTGAGTCCCCCCTCTATCTTGATTACAAGATGATGCAGATTGATAGGCATGTTGGTTTGTATGAAATGGCCTCTCTATCAGAGTGGTTTGCCGGATATGCTGATCCAATCAGTTTTTTCAATTCTTTCAATAGAAATGACGTCAGAATTATTGGTCTATATGCCTTTGCCACGGCATACGTTGGACGCCTCTGCTTTATTTCCAGGTATTTGGTACATGTTTATGCACCAAACTTGCCCTGTAGAGCCTACAGATATGCGGGGCCAACGTTTCTATTGCCTGTTGCAAAAGCACAGACAGTACCCCCCATCTGGTCTAGGTGATTTGTATGGATTGAAGGTGCGTATTGCCCATGTTACTTTCTCTGTTATGACTACCCGTTTAGCAGTTTCTCATTCTTGGCTGGAGACCCTTTGTTGAGAGTTCCAGTTCCTGTGGGTTTGGTTTGCTGCATTCGAGTTTGTTGTGCAATCAGAGAAATGAGTTTTTAAGGAGTAGTTCTAATGTTTCCATTCTAGTTTTAGTGTATTACCCTGTTTGAGTTTTTAAAGTCCCCACAGGGTTAATTGGATCTTTTGCTAGAATGCGGTGGAGTCTGCATCCTTCAGTTGTATGTTTAATTTCCTGACAGAATGTTCTCCATGTATCTCTCTTAGATTTCTCTAAGAGTTTTGTTATACTCTGTGAGTGTTTCGGTGTATTCCCCCCACCCATTCGTCTTTTTAGTCTTATTAAAAAGTTTACATGTTTTCCTTCTGAGTTTGGCAAGTTCGGTGTTCCACCAGCTCACCTTCCTAAAAGTTTTCCTGTCCTTTAACGAGCAATTATTGTGATATGATCTTATAATTGCGTCCCGTCTACATCATTTTTGGAGTGTTAGATATGTATGTGCAGTATTGGTTGAAAAAAGATAATAAGGACAGGCTTTTTTGTTGTTTTATTTTTCTTATACTTAAACGACTCATTAAAACTAAAATGCCACAATTATTAACTTATACAGGGTATAAAAAATACTAATTACTAGTTTATATTGAATGACTAACACAGTTAATCTAGTGACTACAACATGGATTAGTTAAATCTAATCCTTGACTTCTGGATATGTCTTCTGAAGGGTGTCCAAATTTGACCTTCGGATTTAATAATAAAACACAAAAAGGTCCTTGAAATAATATAATATTATTGTTTTATTTTAAAATTTAAATGTTACGGTTAATAATGAAAAATTATATCCGGCATGTGACTCCTCTGCTTCTTTAGCATGCTAACATTCCCTTTACAAAATTTTCAAGAACATTTTCGTTCAATTTCTTTATTTTTTTGAAAAATGTTTACTCGAAGCTTTTCAGGTGTTTAAGGGTTATTAGCATAAACGTTTCCCTTCAAAAAGCTCCACAAGAAATAATCCAATGGTGTAAGGTCGCACGACCTATGCGGATAATTAACCTCAGCTCTTCGAGAACGAAATCACTTCCTTAAAAGATTTAGTGTTTTATCCAATGTGTGGCAAGTGGCGCTGTCTTGCTGGAACCACATGTTCTGGACATCCATATATTCTAATTCGTTCCACAAATATTCTAGTAATCATTGTGTTGTATCGCGCTCCATTAACAGTTATCGGATCACCAGCTTCATTCTGGAAAAAATAAGGACTAATAACGCCACTAGACCAAAAACTACACCACACAGTCACATTTCCTGGATACAGTTGTTTTTTCCAATATTTCACTTGGATTTACTTCACCGCATATTCTGCTGTTGAAATTTCTTCATAAAACTCTCAATAACTTTAACAGATAGTGCTAAATTTCTTCCGAAATGTGTAAGGCATCTTCTTGCAGTTTCAGCAAAATATTCCTCATTTTGGTAATAAGTTTTTACAATACAAACGGAGTTTTCGATAGACAGTTTTTCAATGTTGACCAAAAAACAAGTATCCGCCGTTTTTACTTTTACTCGCTATAGAAATACTGTCAATGAAGATTACCAAATAATGGCGGTCAATTTAAATCGGAATGTCAAATTTGGACACCCTATAGAATCTATAATTGATTCTTTATCAAGGACCATGCATTACTTCTTTCCATCGACTTGAATTTGGTTTTGTCCATAGCCCCTTTAACTCTCTCAGGATCATCTCCTTATTCACATATAGCATGACAAAAAATATGGTCACGACCTCTAAGAAAGTATCTGGGTTCTATCTCTTCTAAACTTGAAATCGATTCTTCACTGTCTTTTGACCTATTTGTACTTTCTGGTGCTATCTGCCTGTCTTCTTTTTCCTTCCTGGTCTGCACGGATCTTTACTATCTTTTTTATCCTATTAATAATCTAAAAACGATAGAAAAACCTACATTCCTACTTATTTTAATTTTTGTTGGATTTCGGAGTCAAATAATCTATAACTCATTGTATCTGTACAAGACCCAACTATAATGTAGCTTTAACTTTTGGAGTCCCATTTGTGAGACAAATGTTTTGGAACATGAACTTGGACAACGCAGCCAAAGACTTTAAGCTGCTGTAGATTAACTCCTGCATTATTCCAAATTTCACAGCTTTATGCGGAGAACCGCTTTTTTAAATATGTATTTACTGTATTCGTTTACCACTTCCTGCACCTTGCCATTTCAATAATAGAATTTAATAGATCTATTTGTGCGTACAGACACGCCATTTTATTCTGGCGTGTACGCAATCACGATACCCAGACTAACGGTATGTTCCTGGGCATGAGGTGACGTCATGTGGGACATAGAATTATACGCATTAAATGGGAGATAGGGTTTAAAATTCGATATTTTTCCAATTTTAGATTTTATGCAGTTACTTAAGCTTTATTGGTTATTTTGTAATAAATTCTTTTACAAATATGAAGGTTTAAGGTAAATAATACTAAAGAAAATATTAATTTTTCTTCATAAATTACTAGGTATTTTGTGACAAAATCCATGACCTTGTCATGAGATAAGTAAAAGATATAGACTAAAAATACAAGTTTGACTCAAATTTGTACTTTCTGGGCATTGTAGTTCTCTTTCAATCTCTTTTCTTATTATGTGAAATAAAAATAAGTTGTGCAGAAATAAATTATTTATTTATAAAAAGTAAGTACAGAAAAACATTACTTTTTATTTGGTAAATTTAAACATTTTTTGTCAAGTTTACTTTGAAAATACTCAAAACCAATTTTCCTGTTCATTTATCTTATTCTTATGAATGGTTCGTATCCTGCTCATGCATGGCAATACTTTAAAAGGACCGTTGTATTGGGATAGGAAACTACTGTTTTATCTGCTAAAATTTTTAAATACCGATTTATTTTCTTTGCTTAATGAGGCCCGTGCACCTGGTGGAATTCAGTTTCTTGCGTCTATGTTTAAGAGGAATCTCACAACTACTTTCCTCAAAGTGGATAGGGCAACTTCAATTAAGTTTGTCCTTTCTTCGATAAGAATTTTACCTATATTTTGTGGCATTCGGAAATATCTCCACCGCGCAGCCCGGCATTTTAAACAATAATTTAGTTCTTCCCTGTTATATATAGGAAAATATAGTCACTACTAACACAAAAACAAATAAATTATTAAATTATTTTACATTACTCAATCGAAAAGTGTCAAAAATAACTTGAAAATTCGTTCTCGCATTAGGTCATCGGCGAGGGTTAAGACGAATTTTGAATCGAAAGTCCTGCATACCGTTAATATGTGTATCGTGTACGCAACGGTTAATTGATGACGGATCCCTTTTGACTTCAAGTTAAGAAGGCCCTACACGCAACGATTTTTGTGAGATTTGAACCGTACAGTCTATCGATTCAATCCATAACTCAACCGTAAAGTACTCCGATCTGACTCACACCTGGCCTCTCCTCTTTTTTTCCGCTTTTGTCTAATGTGAAGATGAAAAGCGAAATGACCTTATTAAATTTTGCCTTTAGATCAGAACTGAGCGGATCTTAAAAATTATTATTTATATATTCAGTTCCGTTATCACTTCGAAGTATTTTAATTGTCTTTTTCTACCATTATAGCAACATTTTCGAATGTCGTCTTGACGTCATGTTTGGACTTTAAAAAGAATTAAAAAATATCTTGATAAAAAAATATATGCCTTGCACCACTCCAGGAAGCTTCTGACCTTGGACCATATAAATCCGTGTGCAAAATTTTAAATAACTCCTTGGCTCGCTTACCTTGAGTTTTTAAAACACTTTTCGGGTCTTTTACTTTCTAAACAAGAGGAGATAGACTACTCTATCGGGATAATTGAACCCATAAGCCAATTTATTTTTTTAATAAATGCATACTGATGCTATTTATGTCCTCCAGTCTCTTATGCTAGATTTCGTCAGTATTTTTTTCTGTACTGAGAAATATTTGTGGCATTGTATCAATATTAACTCGGTTCAGCTCATTTTTAAGTGATGCTCTCAAGACAACGTCTCCTTCAGCGCATTCTGGGTCATACATTTGCCATCCGTAAGAGTTAAATACGAATATATGTCTTTTCTGTAGTAGTACTTTACTACTAAAGTTAATTTGTTCGAAGATCAGGAACTAAAACTACATTGGAAACGTTGTTCTTCCATATTTTGTAACGACGACAGCATTTCCAATTTCAACATGTGCAATTATGTGATTGTTTCGGCAACTCATATATTCTATTTTCTACAAAATCTGAAAGCAAATCTCTATTGGCTGTTATAATATGTGTAGTACAGCCAGAATCGACGTACCATTCTTCTATACGTAGTTTCTTAAAATAATCTAGTAAAAGAAAAGGTTTAAGTGGTAAAACTAATATAAACTACTTTCAAAATCTAAGTAAAATTATTATTACATTACTTTGCGTAGGTACTCACAAATTATTAAGTACTATTTAACCGAATTCAAAAAAAGAGGAGGTTCTCAATTCGTCTGAATATTTTCTTTTATGTATGATCAGCTAAAATTTATGTAACTTAGAAAAGGGGTACCTCGGGGGTGGTACCTTATACATTTAGTGAAGATCTGATGATGAAATCTATGACAAAATCAGCAAACTCAATTTGTAATGTCATCTGCACGATTTTTGAGTCGGTTTTTGAGTTTTATTTCATTAATTTTACCTTGGTATCAGAACAAAGAATTCAATGAATATTTCTTTCAAGCAGAAATTGAATATCAAGGTAATTACTCGGATAGATATCTTATGTCGATGTCAATTTCATCTAAAATTGGTTGCTGTTTAACTCTACTAGAACCTACAAATCAACGGTCAGATATTTTTGACGTAGCTATTCTTTTGTCATGAAATACAAAGTTTATCAAAAGCTTTCTACTTGAGTATTAAACAAAAGATTTTGTAGTTACATTAACGGCAGAAGGGGGCACAATAAATCTGTTAGGTCGCAGTGCATTAATTCCCCATACCCAACATAACAAAACATGGTTCCTAAACCTTTTTTAGTCTCTTGGGGTATTATTATATTGCTCTGCCAAAGTACCAGTACAGTGCTTAAATATTTTTGTATTTTTAGCTTCCAGTACCGAAATCGCCATTCTGCCTCATTGTCCTTCTTTAATTTTCGAAACCGTACAAAAACGTTTGTTTACCAATTTGGAACGGAAGAAGAGCAAAGATAAAATATACGAAAAAGATTATACGATACGAAACAAATCAAATAAATTTTATATAGATAGTGATAGTTCTAATAACGATTTTAAGAAAATTACCAAAAAATATGGCGATTCTCTCTTACTTAAAGGTACATAATTTCCATTTAATATTTTATTGATTATATTAAATTGATTACATTTTTAGGCTGTGAATTCAATCAAAACAATATTTGCGAAGACATCGCTCTTCCCCCTCCCAAACAATTTAGAGACTTAGACTCGCCATCCAGTTCAGTAACCAATGGAATTAACGAAGAAGAAATTAATGCCGTTGATAACCTTCTGTACCATGTGGTTGATACTCAAACCAACCTTGAACGAAGACCAAGTCAATTTGATTTATCGAAGGTGAACCAAACTGAGACTGAAGGTAAATATAATAATATAATACCATTATGAATTTCAATTGGACATCTTACAGTGCTTGTTATACCAAGTGAACGTATCCTATCTATATTTATTCTGGATCTTCGATTGCCTGAGAATGAAATCAGAAATGGCAGAATTAAACAAGCTTTTTCATATTAAATGTTATTGTAATGTAATAAAAACATTGTTTACAGATTATAATTTCACGAAATCCCTGAACGGCGACTCCCTCAAAACCTTCCTCAAAGTAAAAAAGGAATTCAAAAGTCAATTAAACTTCTCGGGATTGCTCTATTCGGATTTGAACATGTTCGCATCGACCATCCCGTATTTCCACATCAGTGACGAGTTTCGGATATTTTCGCCAGAGGGCATGCACCTGGTCGTGTGTGTCCATGGATTAGACGGCAACTCGGCAGATCTCAGGCTTGTTAAAACTTATTTGGAACTGGGATTACCCGGAGCTTACTTGGATTTCCTTATGTCCGAGAGGAACCAGGGAGACACTTTTAGCGATTTTGATACTATGACTGATCGGTAAGTGTACATATTGTTGGTTTTAATGTTGTTTTAATTTCACTGTGTTTATATTAGTTATAAGTTATGTCCGTGCTACGGCTATATAAGTTCAGTGGTTCTACATGACAATTCAGTTTTATAATATAATGCTGTGTTGCCATAACATTGAGTATAAACATCTTGAAAATAGGCAAATTCTATATTAAATCATTAATTTTTGTTGGAGTATAATTTAAAATATCACCTTACTTGCATGTACTGTTGATTGAAAACATAATAAAAATACAATAAGAACAATTTTATTAAACAAAAGTTCAAGAGTAGTATAGAATTATTACAGAAAGCGTGGATAGATTATAAATTGTAGAAAGAAGGTAACTGGACGTATGCGGTGACGATGGATATGACGCTTTCTTTATAACTCCTTTAGGATTAAATAAAAACCTTTAATTATGTGTTTATTTCAGTTTAATCAGCGAAATTCTTCAGTATTTAGATACGAGTAGTATACGACCAACAAGAATAAGTTTCGTAGGTCATTCTTTAGGCAATATCATCATCAGGTCGGCTCTAACAAGACCTCAAATGAAATTTCTTCTACCAAGACTGCATACTTTCTTATCACTTTCTGGACCACATTTAGGAACATTATATAATAGTAGTGGATTAGTTAATATGGGTATGTTCATTATTTTTCCTTTAGTTAGTGGTGTTTTTTTTATTGTTATTTGTTGTTTGATAGTCTTAAATACAGGTGGATTATGCCTCTTGGGGATACCAATAATTATTATAGGGGAGGTTGGGGAAATGTGAACTACGGGAGCAATGTAAACCACCTAGGTATTTTTTCATAACAGCGGCAAAAATGCAGCAAATTCCATTCTACTCATTTGCATCGGGGTCTAATTAAAATCAAAATGTGGTTTACGGCAGCGCCAATCTAACAAACGTGTTAACTTAAAATCAGAATTACTTGGTAAGTAAATGTACACTGCTGAGCATTAAATTACGGTCATCTCGTAATTTGACATTTATTTTAGAAATTTTTAGTTTTTTCGGATTTTTTTAGGTATTGGCATGGTTAACTAACTTTATGCGATGATTTTGTGCTGATTGCTTGAAGGCCTCAGACTCAAATTCCTGAAATCCATTATTAGCATATTTTTTGTTTCAGAGGTTTTTATCTCTCTATTGCAAATTGCTTGATTGATTATAGTATTGTCATTGTAAATGTATTGAAATGGCCACAGATCTTGTTGTTGCCACACGAATTGCGAGAAACTTTGGTGTAAGTCTCTTCAGTGTGCAAAGAATATTTCAGTGGTGTGAAGAGACTGATCTGCTCACTCGAGGTCCTCGAGGACCTGGTTCAGGACGAGGAAAGACGACAACAATTAAGAGACGACCGCTTTCTCGTTTCTATTGCCTTGGGAAACCGAATGGCTACAGCAGTTTCCCTCCTAAATTATCTGTAAACATTAGTGAGTGGACTTTTAGGACGCGACTTCATGCTGCTAAATTACCTTCTTGAAGTAGGGCTACTGGATCGCCGCATTCCCATGAATACCAGATTATAAGGTTTAATTGTGCACGAGAACACTTAGTTTGGACAATATAGGATTGGAGTCGCATATTGTTTTCCGATGAATCGCAATTTGGTCTTACGGGTCAGACAGATTTGTAAGAGTGTGGTGACGTCAAGGCGAGAGATGTGCTCAAGCGTGTATTGCCAAGCGACTTTCATTTGATGGAGGCCCATTTATGGCAAGGGGTGGTATATTTTTTGAAGCTCATGGAGTTATTCTTTATCCAGAATATGAATTTGACTACGCATAGGTACTGTAATGAAAACACCCTGTGTTCAAATACAATAATCATAATAATAATAATAATAATAATAATAATAATAATAATAATAACACTAATAATAATAAGCAAACTAATAATAATTAACATACTAACAATAATAACAACCATATTAATAATAATAATAATAATAATAATAATAATAATAACAGTAAGAAATAAAAATAATTTCGGAAAATATTATAACCCTGTATATGAAAAATTTGATATGAAAGTCTTAAGTGTAAGATACGATGGGTAGTAGGTAGAAAGGATGGTTTCGATGGGATGGAAGATTGTCAATGTTGAAATTTAAAAAAGAAACATGTCAGAAATTTGGGAAGTAGAAATTTATTATTTTTAAAAGATATGGTCAAAAAAGAATTGAAAAACTGATAATGTAACACATTTAGAATAAACAAATTTATCTAACCAGAGGAATATAATTAAAAGTTATAAGATATATGGTGTAAAATAGTTATAGAAAACATTGGTAATTACGTTCCGGCGAGACACACATAAAAAACCAACAGAGGAGAAATAAAGCGAAAACAGTAATGGAAATAAACAATTTCAATATGAACTAATTTAATTTTAGTAAATAGTTTAGGTAGTATGAATGAAGAGCGAGTGTATTTAGAGTAGTTTTAGTAATATAGTAATATAACCCCATGAATGTAAACAGCGGGGCATTTTGTTAATTGAGGTTTGATACTGTGTTTAAAAATAAAACTTGTATTTTTGGTTTTGAAAATTTGTTTATTTTATTTAAAAATACAGGGTATAAAACAAGTTAAGTTATAAATATTTTAAATTTTTTGTTGATTATTGATTAAAATAAAATTAAAATTAAATTATAATAACATTAAAATAGAATTAAAAAAAAATACAATTGAAATAAAATTAAATAAAATTAAAATGAAAAAGTAATAATAATATAATTGGAAGCACCCCTGAGATAGAAATAATAAAAAAAAAAAAATAAAAAAAAAATACTTTAATTAAATTAAAAAATAAAATTGGTATATGTGTAATATCATTACAGTACCTACATAAATTCTAGAAAACCATGTTGTACCGTTTATGATTATTCTTGGAGAACACACCCTTTATGCATGATAATTCCCTACCTCACACTGCTCGGATAGTTACTGCTTATCTTGACGACGTTCAAACCACGCGATTTGTTTGGTCTGCTCAAAGTCCAGATTTAAATCCCAGAAATGCTGGAGAGCTTGCGATATACTGGTGCAGGAGTGATCTAAAATCTGATCCAAAGTATGTCTCGTCGTTTGCAAGCTGTTATCACTGCAGAGGAAGGAATAATCGCTACCGAAGTCCTTAAAATTTCTTTTAAACCAAAAGCATATCAAATTAAACTTTGCATTACAGTAAGTCATGACCACGCAACTCGATATAAATTAAATAATGTTGTAATACCTTAAGCCAAAAAAACTATAGGGCAAAAAAGTTATGCTTACCTGGGTCCTAAATTATATAATGAAATACCGTTAGAATTAAGGAGCTTTATTCCCTAAATCTATTTGTATAAAAAATTAAAAAATGGATATATTCCATCCCTACTGCGAACCTGCAACGTTTTATTTCAACAAATAACGAATGTTATAGTCTGGTTTACTAGTTTAATTTAATAATTTGTCTAAAAAAAAAAATAGTTGATAAAATGTAAATATTAATATTAAATTAAACTTAATATTAGGTAATTGTTTTTCATATTATTCCAAATATTATTTTTATATAATTTTTTATTTTTTTATAATATTGTAATATTGTGTTTTATTAAGACTGCTCGTCCTAAAAAACCAATAATAACCCATGCTCAAGGATTCTTTTTGTGGGTGTTCCTGTTTATTTATCTCGAACGAACTTACATTGATATACATTATACATTGTTTTTATATTATTTTTGGTAAATAAATTATTATTATTATTTTCAATATTTTCAATAAACTTGGAACAAGTATAACGAAACTTTTTTTTTTAATCACGACAAAAACATTGCATTGCATGAAAAAACTAAAATTTTCTAAAATAAATGTAAATTACGAGCGGACCCTAATTTTCTACTAGGCAGTGTATTTCTATCCATTTTTTTTTTATCTCAACACGTTGTTTAAAAAGTGTGCCTAATATGTCAACTATTATTGTTAGGATTTGTTTTAAACTTTTATTATAACCTGAACCTAAACGTGTTTAATATAGTTGGTGATATGCATAAAACGTAGTACATGCTAAGTTAAGCATCTCTTGAGCATGATTAGGGCGATTTCAAATGCCAACAGAAAACAGAAATTATGTCGTATTTTGATTTCCCTGAACAAAAATGCGGAAAGCCGATCCGCATAAATGAGCGATGTTTACAAAAAAGTATGATTCGTCTGATGTGTTGGTAGTTTCATTATTTATATTCTATAGGTACCTAAATATAAAGTTTTAATTTTCTTTTTCAAACAAATTCATCTTATTAATGAGGCTATCTGTAAAAAAAATTATTTTGGATAGGTCACATTGCCCCAACCTCCCATACAGAACGTTCCAATTCATCAAATTCCATTTTGTACAAAAAATTCTCAGAAAGAAAATATTCAAATATGGTAACGAAATATAGGTAAGTAGATCAAAAAGGTGTTGTTTTGAGGGTGGAAGAATTTGAGAATTATGAACCAAGTCGGACGTACATTTTTTTACTTATTTATATATCCATACATTTGAGGAGATGAAGATCATAAAGTATCCCAAAAAATGTCACAAAAATCTACGGGATTGTTCCCAAGTTATGAATTAGAAAAGAAATGAACAAAATTGACAAAACAGCCAAAATTTAATTGTTTCTTTTATTATTTTCTTCATTCTTTGTTTAATTTAATGCGTATTATCTTTACATTTATGAATAAAAGTAGAATAAATTACATAGATATCTTCTGTTTATATTTTTCTGTAGATGAATTTGATTCTAAACCACCAACAATTTTTAATTGTTATTTAAACCACCAACAATTTTTAATTATCTCCTCATTTTTATTTTTTATATTTTAGGAATGTGGTTTATGCAAAAATGGAAAAAATCTGGATCTCTTCTTCAACTGTGTTTAAAGGATTGTGTAGATCCTCGACAGTCTTTTTTATATCGATTAAGTCAAAGAAGTACCTTACATCATTTTAAGAACATCCTTTTATGTGGATCTGGCCAAGATAGGTAAAAAAAAAACGTTTTCAAAAATCTATTGGACCTATATATTTTTTTTAAAGGACTATCGATACAAATTTTTGCAGATGGTGTCATGTGATTCAATGCCCTTGATTGCTTATTCGTTGAACAATTCTGAGTCGAAAATGCCTTATAAAAACTCAATAGTTAAGAAGTACTGGGCAATATCAAATTTAATAGTACATAAATCTAGTATGCCATGTGTATTGGTTTTTCCTGTTTGTAGTAATTATTTTGTCATATTTTTATGATGGTATTGTTTATTTGTTTAGCAGTGTCATTTTAAGATTATAATCTGGTTAAGTTTTAGAAGAACAAGAATGTTTTGTTAGGCAGCAGGGGGACATTTTGTTTTGTTCAATTATTTTAATTAAATTAGTGTTGGTAATAAAAATAAAATTTGTTAATTAAGAAAACATTAAATATTACTTTAGTCACCATATGCCCTTTACTTTAATCTTCATGCCTTCTTAAATTTAAACCTTTATAAATAACTCATCCTGAACTATTAATTTTTGACAAAAAGCTAAAAGGCATTGTCTACTTAAAATTATCTAAGAAATACGCTCTTAAGATTTGCGCCACGAGTGGCGGGGTATCCTGTATACATACTGCTATTTTTAGATACGTTCCACTGCACTCCGCCAGAATCGAACTCTGCAAGGAATCGTTAAAAGACACGTCGGACCAGGGAACAATTTTCAGAGAAATGGTTCACAATATAATTTCCCCAATAATTGCTCAGAAGGAAGTGAAACTTGTGCGCTACGATATCCATCACGCTTTGCCGAATACTGCCAACGCCTTGATTGGCCGAGCAGCGCACATTGCCGTTTTGGATTCAGAACTTTTTATTGAAAAATTTATGGTCGTTGTCGGTATCAAATATTTCCGTTAGGTTTATTAAGTTTTTTAAATGAATATATTATAATTATTATAATACTTTGTTTTATTTTTAATATTCACTGTAAAGGTAAACTTTTTGATTTTGAACCAAAAATATACCCAAAACTACTAACTAATCCATTCATTCATGAATAATCCCTTATTTATTGCAATTTTTTATATTTATTATTGTCGTCATCTAGTTTAATATTATAATTTTCTAGGACAGTTTATTTACCTAATACCCTGCTATACCCCCTTTTTCAGGGGGCATGCTCTGATTATACATAGTAACCTAAGTGTTGGCGCGTGGGACCTGAGGGACAGGTTGTGTTCCCAAACAGCTAATACTGTCAATTTTGCTATTTCTAACCTCAAATGTGAACAAGTCCAAAGTATAAGGTGGGAAATATGGTTTAGGAAAACCACGAAAACGTACAATGACAATGGATCTATATGTGATTGGGAGGGGTTGGTTTATTTTATAGAAAATGGGGCTGATAAGTCCAGCAGATGCTGCACAGTTCATAGTGAATGGGAGATCTTGAGAGTCAGAAAATAATCTTAAGTTAGGTTGGCAGTTTCCTTTTCAGTTTGTGAAATAGCGGTCGGCGCCGTTGCACAGTGTTCCAAATGACAATATTAGACGATCAAAATGTTTTGCATGCATAAATTTGCAGGAGATGCTGCTCTTTTAGTATACTTTATACATGATTTAAAGAAAAACTAATATTAAGATATACATTTCAATTTTTAAGTTCATATAGATACTGGGTGTATTTTTTAAACCGTTATAGTTAAGAGAAAGATAATTAATTTAAAAAATGTTTAACTTTATGGAAAATTTACCTTACACTTTTCATACTCTAGGTGCGACAATTTTTTTGAATTAATTACTTTTTTTTAGTTTTACTTAATATAATTATAGTGTAAACCGGAAAAGTTTTTATTGTCATTTTTCCCATTGGGCTTTTTTTATTTTTACTATTATATTTATGATATTCATTAAAAAAGTTGTCACGTCAATTGACAGTCAGATTCTTTTAAAAGAGGTTGCAATTATTGGTCACATAATGTAACAAAATATGATTTTCTACGATTAAAATAGTTTGCTTTTTAGAGGAATGTAAAAACCGACTTACTTAATATTGCTATGTATTGTACTTTAACCTAATGTTTACAAATTATATTGATGCTGAGCATTTATTGAACAATTTTACAAAAATGAAAGTGTGATAAAAACATAGAAAGTTATAAAATTGCAAATTAGTTCCATTTAACAAGATATACAAAAATTAGGAAGTCAAGTATAGACAATACTTAATAAATATTACTAATCTATTATGTCTAAATCATCAGAAGAATCATCATCATCTGAAGATGTAGTGGATACGAAATTTTTTTGATAGTAAAATCTGGATCTTTTGGTACTTTCAACATGCTAACAACCTCTTCGGGAAGCGTACTCAATTTTCTTTTTGGCAAAGGTCTTATACTGGAAATCAGCATGTCAGATGAAATTAAAAGGGCATGTAGTAAATCTTCCATGTTTTGTTTTCTGCCAATTTTTCGAGAATTGTGTTGGCGGTAGTATCGAGATTCTGTATGACGTGCTTCTAAAGCCTCTTCGCTAAGCTGGCCTATTGGAAGAATCAAAGAATTTATGACATCTGCACCGTGAATCAGTATCTTGTGGACGCTTGATGGCATCTTAAACCAGGGATATAAATTCACGAAAAGTCGGGCAGAATCCAGAGCATACTTCCTAAATGCTTCAGGATTAAGATCGTATCCACAAGAGATGGCTTGTAAAACTACGGAGAATCTGCGTATTAGAGTCTCATCAATTCCTGTTATGTTTGCTGATAGTGCTGGTTCACTGAAAAAACGCCTGGCAACGTTTCCATCATTTGTCGTCCCACTTCCTTGACGCACTACATCTACCAACATACCTGTACGTTGACGAAAAGAATTTGTTATTTCTCGTTTTCTTCTTTCTACGGCTTCTTTTTCAGTTGCTGTTATACGCCATTTTTTTTACAACTAATTTGTATGAAACATGCAATAAACACTCAAACATTCGAATATGGGCAAGAAGGGTTAAGAGACCATATTTATAGGTTTCTATATTGCATTGTCTTTCTATAACTTTGTTAATGTCATTCATGTCATTTGGGGTAGCTTTACAAATATAACATGACTGAGAGGAACGATTTTTAGTTAAGACATTTGCCACTTTTCCATCTATCATTGTTTGAATTAAAACATGATTTACGGTTAAACATCGTCCACTGAAATTCAGTTATGTTGGCATTAATTGGTTAATTTTATTTGTTATGTACTCACTCTCTTTTTCTATAGATTCCTTACTTTCCTTTATGAATTGGAGATGCAGTGGCATACAAAAACGCGTGGACGATGGCCTCGGATTTTGCCATATTATAGTTTCGGCATTGTTTGTAACTTTTTTAAATTGTAAGGGTACGATTGACGTTATAAGTAAATCTGTGTCTGTCGAATTTGGGTTTTCTGTAAATTTTTGTTTATATAATGCATGGCTAGAGGATCCATTGAAGCCCCATTTGTATCTCATTTCCAAATTTACTTGATCTTCTTCTGATACTACGTGATCGATAACATCTTTCTGAGCAATACATAACCGATTAATACAGTGGTCTAGTGCATTTTGCAAAGGAACCTGAGCAGAAGTTTCATTTATATTTATATTTTTAGGATAACAATTCTTTTTGGCAGCAAGTACTATATTATACGATGGGTAGATATTGCATTTTCTTTTTTTGGCTTCTTTTCTCATCTGTTTATACTGGGCAGTAGTTAGTTTGGCATTCGTTATAAGCGCAAGTGCTTCTTCAACAGAGTATGGTCGAAGATCGGTTTTACTTTTACTCATCTTTTTAAAATGCTTTAGGGTGGTAGGACTAGAGGTTATTGCCTTTTTGGAAAAATCCGCCAACAGTCGAACGGGCTATTTTTTTTTTTTTTAAACGATTTTAGACCTTCTGAAACACATTTCAAAATACTTTTTTTGCCCTGCAAACGCTATAAAATATTTTTTTCTTACCTTAAAACTATTAAAATGTGTCCTTCAATTTCGATGTTGAAAAAATTTAAACTACATCATTTTGATTAATTTCTTGTTATAGAAACTGCTAAATAATAACACTAGACCATCCATAATGCAATAAACCATCCAAATTTTTTCGTAAATAGTATTATTTTCTTAATTTACGACCAATTTTAAGTTCGTCAAAATGATCAAATTTTCATGACCGCAATGACAATTAACATTGGCAGTGTGACATGTGTCTAAAAGAAATACAATGTTGCCATATCAATTATGTATTACATAGCATACAATTTTTACCTATGCCCTGCGTTGTACCAGGCCAACCAATTGACTTCAGTATTAGAAAAATTATATAAAACTAACAATTTAAAAAATACCCATATCAAGATCTTCTTCCTCACCCTCATCGGCAGAATACTCTTCGACGTCAATATTGATATTTTCTAAATTGCAAGGATTATACAATTTTCCCGCCAGTTTTAAAAACTCTTCAACTAACCGAACCTAACCAACCTTCATTAGCGTCTGGCCCGTAAACCTCGATCCCAACTTTTAACGAACGTGTCTTGTATCGTGGGCATCTAATAGTAAGAAAATATACAATAAGAAAATGAAGGAACGACTTCTTGAAAATTTTGAAACCATACCTGGCTACGCCGACCGGCATAAACTCCAACGGCCTGGACACAGCTCAAATTGAAAAACCTAACCTAACCAACCCTCATTAGCGTCTGACCAGTGAACCTCGATCCCAACTTTTAACGAACGTGTCTTGTATCGTGGGCATCTAATAATAAGAAAATATACAATAAGAAAATGAAGGAACGAATTCTTGTAAGGTGGCGGCTTCGCCGCCACCAGAAAATTTTTAAACCATACCTGGCTACGCCTACCGGCATAAACTCCAACGGCCTGGACACAGCTCAAATTGAAAAAAAAACCTAACCTAACCTAACCAACCCTCACTAGCGTCTGGCCAGTAAACCTCGATCTTAACTTTTAACGAACGTGTCTTGTATCGTGGGCATCTAATAATAAGAAAATATACAATAAAAAAATGAAGGAACGACTTCTTGTAATAAAATTTTAAAACCATACCTGGCTACGCCGACCGGCATAAACTCCAACGGCCTGGACACAGCTCAAATTGAAAAACCTAACCTAACCAACCCTCATTAGCGTCTGACCAGTGAACCTCGATCCCAACTTTTAACGAACGTGTCTTGTATCGTGGGCATCTAATAATAAGAAAAAATACAATAAGAAAATGAAGGAACGACTTCTTGTAAGGTGGCGGCTTCGCCGCCACCAGAAAAATTTTAAACCATACCTGGCTACGCCGACCGGCACAAACTCCATCGGCCTGGACCCAGCTCAAATTAAAAAAAAATTATTTTAAATATTAGATAAGTACCGACATGCCGTAATTAACGTACAATCATCATGAAATGAAATAAAAA